TGGCGTCTAATCTAGAGCAATACGACAGTGATGTAGAAGAAGATTACATAGACATGGAAGTAACTTCTTTCACAAACCTCGTACGTAAAACCCTCAACAACAACAAAAACCCTGGAGAGTTTGAGTTCCAAATGTCCCATCTCTGTCCTCTCGAGATAGACAAAACCACTTCTCCTGCAGACGAACTCTTCTACAAAGGCAAACTTCTTCCTCTTCACTTACCTCCACGTCTCCAAATGGTCCAGAAACTTCTAGAAGATTACACCTTCGACGATGAATTCTATAGCACTCCTTTAGCCACCGGAACGGTTACAACTCCGGTGACGAACAACACTCCGTTCGAGTCTTGCACTGTCTCTCCGGTAGAGTCTTGTCAAGTGAGTCAAGAGCTTAAACCTGAAGACTATTTCCTTGAATATTCAGATTCAATAGAGGAGGAGGAAGAGAAGAAATCTTGGAGCAAGAAACTAAGATTGATCAAGCAATCTAGTCTCGGAACGAAGATTAAAGCTTCAAGAGCTTATCTAAGATCGTTCTTTGGTAAAACAAGTTGTTCTGATGAGTCAAGAGTTGCAGACGAAGGATCGATCTTGAGATATTCGAGAGTGCAACCTCCTTTTGGACAAATCAAAACAGAGAGACCTAAAAAACAGAGTAATGGTTCTGTTTCCGGGAACCATAGGAGATCGTTTTCGGTTTCTGTGAGGAGACAAGCTGTGAAGTGTTCGAACAACAAATCATCGACTGGTAGTTTAGGGTTTCGTCCGTTGCAGTTTTTGAAGAGAAGTACAAGTTCGAGTTCAGAGATTGAGAATTCTATTCAGGGAGCTATCTTGCATTGCAAACAATCTCAACAACAGAAGCAGAAACAGTATAGTGTTAGTGAGGTCGGATTCTGTTCGTTGTCAGCTTCAACAATTGCAGCGATGGATGATCAAGAACGGGCTCAGTTTTTTCGAGGCTAATTATGGAAATTTGACATGAATAAGATTAGAAGAAAATAAGAGTTAAGTGAGAGTGAGAGTGAGAGAACTAGAGATTAGTTTCTTTGTTTTCTTTTGAATTTTTCCTCTTTTTTTGCTTCTTCTTTGTTTTTCTATGAGATTTCATAATTTGTCTATGCTTTGGTGTCCAAAACAATGGAAATTATAAATGGTGTTATATATTCAACTCAACTTACTTGTGATTTGAGGTTTTTTAGATTCAAGTGGAATATATGATTGGATTGTAAATTAATGCAAATGTCTAATATAAAATTATAATATCGTAATATAATTGACCCCAAGCAAAGCTCTTTATATATTAAATCAGAGAAAACAATAATGTCTTAAATTAAAGAACTTTTTGTTGTCATTTGAATTGATAACTATATATAATATTACATTCAAACTTTTAATTTTATAATATGATTAATATCCCAGATTTATGATGTTGTCTAAGTTGTTTTTTTCTTTATTTGATTTCATATCGTTTGTCCAAACGATTATGTTTTGAATAAAATCTAAATAAATAAGTTCATTACACCACACAAAAATCTTTCAACGAACTAATACATACTATATTTTATTTTTATTCGTTGACTGAATTGTTTTC